AGTCGAACAGCTCATGGGTGTCTGCACCGGAGAAAAGAAGGTGTCCGTCATGCTTCGGGAGGGATGGGTGTTGTTGGGCGAGGTCGGTGCATGTGCAGGTTGTTTCACCGAGACTCCAGGATTTTGCTGCCTGGAGATGTGAGAACAAGGCACTGGAGAGTCTCCGATGTGCCTTGAAGACAATGCGTGGTTGTGCCATGTGAAACGGTAAAGCGCTGCGAGTGGTAGATCGAATAAACCCGCGAAGTTGGGTTAAAAGCAGGGATCGGAAAGAAGGATGGGCGAGGAATGGTGCAAGCATCGGTCTGGAGGGGCCAGGTGGAATGAGGCCCCGGAATCGTAAACTGGATCGAATGGCGGAAAGGCATGCCTGGTGGTGTGGTTCAGGCAGGTGCGTGGCTATGCGATGAAGGACATAGAGAGCGGCGGGTGGGAAGTCTCTGCTCCGTATGTAACGGATGGCATCAAATCGTCGTAGAGTGTTGCTGCCAAGATCGCCCAAAAATCGCCACAAATCTAGGCGGTTGCTCATGCGCTTGGCCAGGAAGGCCTGTTGTAGGGCGATGGGTAGTCGTAGTCGGCGGCGTTTTCGCCAGATGGTGGCGAAGCCCATGTGCCGGGATTGGGAGAAGTCCAATTGGCGTGTGAAGCCCGTGCGTGGCCGGAAATGTCTCTCGATGAAGCCAAAATTGAGAGACGGTTGCAGTTCCTGGATGTAGAACTGTTCAGTGGCAAATAGGTCCGTTGCTGGAACGGCAGTGTGAATGGGCACCGAGGTGTAGTGGTGGAAAATGTCAAACTGTGCCCACCACCGGACTGCTAGTTCGGCATTGACCAGATGATGTCGCTGAACTTGGAGTAGTTTCCGAAGTCGGCTGTGGTCCCGTGCCATGAGGGAGGTGCGAGTGGCTCCGAGGTAGAAAAAGGTCTGCCACTTTGGATGGCTGGTGAATCTCAGATAAACCGCTGAAGGGACAAGCTGAGAAGAGAAATCGGAAGCAGGGTTGTCCAGGCCAAGTCGAGTGAGCA